GCTCCATTCGGGTGTCCTTCCCAATGGTCGGACGCTTCTAGGATCGATTGTGGACCCATTGGGTTTGTTTCAAACATCGCCGCTGGTCAATGCCAACGAACAAGATCAGAAGACGGTGGAATTGACTCGAAAACTGATTGAAATATTCAGCACATTGCCAGCCCAGCAACATCAGACGAATGGAAGCAAAGCGATCGACATGCAATCATTGGACCGGCAAGAACTGATTGCTTTCTCTAGGATACTCACCCGCAAGTTGTGGGATCGTCGGGACAGATTGTTAAAATCATCCAATCGGTTCTTGCAGCAACTATTGGACCTGACAGCCGTTCGATTGGAAACGTCCGAACGAGTTCCGTTGCCAGAACGCCAGCCAACTCTTGGAGTGACAAGTCGATCGACCTCTTCTCCCAAGCCACAAGAAAAGGAGGAACTTACGAGTGTCCAGAAAATATTTTCAGAAGGATCCTCGGCTGGTGGATTGACCAGTACAGCAGCGTCTAAGAGATTGGATGCAGCGAGAAAGCAACTAAATTCTCTCGCAGAATAAACTCGTTAGCTATGGTTTTACTTTTCATTCCAATATCTCTCCAGACGTATTGCAATCAATTGCAGTTTTGGAAGAGGGTTGCTATCTGGAACCTTCCGCCGTCCGGTCTAGAATAGAACTGCTTTCTACCACTAAAAGAATAATATTCTATACCAACTTCCATCTGCCTTGTCGAATGCTTATCCGCAGTCTCTGTTTCATGTTCGTTTACATTATGTCCAACACCTTCCTCACGTACCGATGCAGCTGGAATGGAAAGCGAGCTCTATCTGAATGGTTTTTGTCCTTCAATGAATCCTCTCCAAATTTTAGTGAACATGGTTTATTACAACTTGCTCACTCACTACTCACTACTATCTAGCACCAAGAAAAGATCCTTGTATTCACAGTCATTTTGTTCCACACTTACAGTTAACCTCGACCTCATGGACCGATTCTGTTGGGTATTATCGTATCGTAGTGCGGAAGTACCGGTACCGGTACCGTACTAACAGTTAAATGTACTACCGGTACAACTACCTACCGTAGTACCAGTTGGTAGTAGGTACCGGTACCGGTAATTTGTACTACGGTACACCGGTACCGGCACCAGAATGTGAGTACCGGTACATGCCGTAGTACGAAAGTACGGTACCGTATTTCGTTGTTGAAAAAAATAAAACACACGAAGTGTATGGATCAATTTGAAATCGAGCGGGTTAGCCTCCTCGTCCATTTTATTCTTCTTTCTCTCGAACAATGTACGTGTAATTCATGAGACGGCTACTGTTGTGGTACAACGATCACACCATGCGTTCCGGCTGGGCTCTCTTGATTCTTGTATCCTTATGGGCAGTGGATCGCGTCGTAATCTACAGTCGTATCGCAAGTTCTATGTCGGGTTGTCACGGCAGACAGAAAGAAATAATGGAATTAGAATGGATTGATCAGTCCGTGATGACTTTGGACGGACTTCGAGGAAGTACTGACACCTTGACTTCTGCTACGAAATCGGAAACGAAAGGATCAAAAGAGTCTCAACGGGTCATTAATGACAACAGCCAAATCGAGAGCCCCTTTCGAATACAATCGTTTGTAATTAGTTTGCATTATTCCAAAGCACAAGATTGTATGAAACGGAATCGGTTGTCTGGTATCAACGCCACTTGGTTTCCATCCTCCAACGGTTATGATCAAATGATATTGGACGAATGGTATGCCTTGACAAAGACCAAATGGCTCAATGCTTCTCTCTTCAAAAAGGGATTCAAAAGTGGTTACGAAAATCCTCATGTTGTTGGATGCTACATGAGTCACTGGAACGTGCTCAAGTTGACCTTATCATTCTATCAAACTCTCCAGCAGCGGCCAGATGCATTGGTGATTTTGGAAGACGATGTTGCATGTTCCAACAATTTGCTCGAGTACCTAGAAGCGACCATTCCCAAATTACCAGATGGCTGGGACTTGTTCATGATTGGCGGCAAACCCTTTTCCTACCTCTCATCGAAGCCTTTAAACACTAAAATAGTCGCCAACAAGACCAAACCCGACTTGTTTCAAGAGTTGGCCTGCCAAGGTATATTTGGAACTTCCTTGACGGGACCGTTTGCGCCACAGAATCGATCACGGTTCATCGATCCAACTCGGGATGCGTATTGGAAAATTGAGTACATGACGAATACACACGCCTACGTCGTCAATCCACTCCGTCTCGAATATTTGGTCGATTTTTTGGGATCGATTCATCAGCAAATTACCTTTATGCGACCAATTGACATAACATATGCCGATGCAATGCGAAACGGCCACATTCAAGCCTACATGCCCACTCAAGAATATTGCCGTCAACATTCACCGCAAGAATTATTAAAGGCACATCCAACACCGTGGATAGGGTATTACCATCATCCCAGCTGGCAAAGGTTGATGGACGATGAGCCGTACGAGTACGGACCCATCTTTTTCGAACACTGTCCGGCACGGGATCAAGGGATATTTTAGTTTATTGTTGTGTTTGGAGAGCCAAAATAATGAAGTGCTAGATTTATTTCTCCGCGTGGAATAATCATGAAGCCAGGAGTCTTTCTATCATATGATTTGTTTACAGTTGGTTCAATGGCAACTGGGGCTGGATAGCTTGCGAGACGACTAGGGTGGTGGAATCGCTACGAAAAAATAATAACAAGATGCACGTCGATCCAAACACATTAGTGGATGGTCGTTCTTCAGGCTTTGCATGAAGATTCTCGGTCATTAGAAATTTGGTACATTTTAAGCATCATCGCGATTTTGTTGCTTGTTACTGTTTACAGTTTCCTTTGACAACTAGCCAGGGAAACAAACATCAATAGATTGTTTAATCCCTCCTTACATAGCCTCCCGCCTTAAAGTTAAGGTCGGGTTGGTTGAGCAATCTTTCTACTCGGAGTAGATGCGAAACAATAGAGAGCTAGAGTACTAGTCCACCTTAGTAGCCAAAGCAAATAGAAACCAATGATTTCAAAATATAAATACTACTGGTACGTACCGTATCTTCAACTGTACGACGGTCGTTAGCTACCGTATTGCGGTGGTTGACTACAGGTAGTAGAAGTATGATCCCGTATTGACTGTAATACACCGGTAACCTGTAAAAGTTCCCTCGGTTTTCGGAGCCCCATTTCGCTCTACGACGTCACACGTCTTTTTGACGTCATTCGCAATCAAAGTAAGTGCTTCGAGTATCTTTGGATGATGTGCTCGCGGCAACGCTCCTCTTTACAGTTACTTCCAAGGATCTTTCGGAACAACGGTCGATGCGATGCGAATGTATGGAGATGGATGGAGGAATGCTTCTCTGCTACCTCCCTACGAGTAGCTACTAGTAGAGCAGAAAAGAGCAAGTGTTGGACCTTCACAAAAGCTCTTACTTCTATTATTATCTATCTGCATTCTACATCTGTTCTGCAGATCAACTTTCAGTGAAGGACTGGAACATTAGAACGTTTTTGTCTTCCAACGGTTCCATTCCAAAATGTTGTTGTCGATACGCTCATCCTCCTCCCTTCGCCGTATCCTTTCGGCGAGAGCGACGCCATCAACTGCCACTGTCACAAAGGGTGTCACTCGAAGCTGCAGTACCATCCTGGGCAATGCAACAACCGCTTCGTCATGGAACCACAACAAGAACTACTACAAGAAAAGCAATCACTTTGTTGTTGTACCATCATCTACCAGACATGGTCCACAACAAACTCGGTCTCTCCATTTGACACCCCGTGAAGTGGATCATTTGCAATTGCATTCCGTCGGCCGTTTGGCCCAATACCGTCTAGCAAGAGGCGTGCGTCTCAACTTACCAGAAGCCATTGCTCTAATTACCATGCAAATGATGGAATATATTCGTGATGGGAACCACCAAGTGTCGGAATTAATGACGTTAGGTCAATCTTTATTGGGTACCAATCAAGTCCTGCCAGGTGTACCTAAAATGGTCAAAGATGTACAGATTGAAGCCACCTTTCCTGATGGGACGAAGTTGTTGACGGTCCATTCACCCATTGCTCGTTTGAATGGAGATTTGGAACTGGCCCTGCATGGATCTTTTTTACCAGTTCCGGATGTCAGTGTCTTTGAGGAACAAGTTACTGAAGAGGAAGCATCCTTGCCCACACCGGGATCCATCATTACGGATGGTCCCCCCATTACTATCAATGAGGGCAGTTCCTTGGTCGAATTGTCCGTCACCAACACGGGCGATCGTCCCATCCAAGTCGGATCGCATTATGCCTTTGTCGAGACCAACAAGGAATTGGAATTCGATCGACGTGTGTCCATTGGCAAACGCTTAAATGTTCCCAGTGGTGCTAGTGTCCGATTTGAACCCGGTGAGACCAAGACGGTCACTCTGGTAGAGATTGGTGGCAAACAAAATGTCATTTCGGGCAATCGATTGACAGACGGATTGGCTACCGAAGACCGGTACGATGAAATCATGAAACGTGTCGAGGCGGGTGGTTTCAAACACGTTACGGCCATGGAAGTTCCCGAAGGACAACCCTGTGTGGTGGAACGATCCGGTTATGCCGATATGTACGGTCCCACGACTGGTGACAAGGTCTGTTTGGGTGACATGAATTTGCAAATTCAAGTCGAATACGATTTGACTTCATATGGGGATGAATGTAAATTTGGTGGTGGCAAGTCATTAAGAGAAGGAATGGGACAGGTATGATATCCTGGAGAGGCTTGTTGTGAAGTATTTGTTTGAATTGCAAGCAACCCAATCATTAGTTCTATAGATGTACTCACCACCTCTCGTATTGTATTGTGATTCGATTCCATATAATAATCACACAGGCTACTGGCGTCACTTCAGACCAAGCTCTTGATGTGGTCATTACCAATGCTTTGATTGTGGACAGTGTCACTGGAATTCTCAAGGTGAGACCTTTGTAAAATTTCGAGATTACGGCGTTGAATGTGCGTGCAAAATGATGTTCTAAAATACAGTCCAACCGTGTTTGGTATATACAAGGCCGATGTCGGGATCAAAGGAAATCGAATTGTGGGTATCGGCAAGGCAGGCAATCCCGACATGATGAACGAAGTCGATCCCAATATGATTGTTGGTGCCACCACCGATGTCATTGCAGGAGAAAAACTCATTTTGACTGCAGGTGGAATCGACACCCATGTGCATTGGATCTGTCCCCAACAAATCGATGATGCCATTGCCAGTGGGTTGACGACCATGTTTGGAGGAGGTACCGGTCCCAGTGCCGGAACGTCTGCCACAACATGTACTCCGGCTCCATCTCAATTTGAGCTAATGTTGCAGGCCACCGACTTGTATCCATTGAATTTCGGTTTCAGTGGCAAGGGGAATACAAGTGATCCATCCGTCTTGCACGATTGTTTGTTGGCAGGTGCTTGTGGGTTCAAGTTGCATGAAGATTGGGGTACCACACCCTCGGCGATTGATGCCTGTTTGAGCTTTGCTGACGATCATGATATTGCTGTCACTATCCATACCGATACGTTGAATGAAAGTGGTTTTGTGGCCGATTCCATTGCGGCCATGAAGGGAAGGACCATCCATACGTATCACACGGAAGGTGCTGGCGGTGGGCATGCACCGGACATTATCTCGATTGTCGAACACGAAAACGTCCTTCCAAGTTCGACAAATCCGACACGGCCTTTTACTATAAACACGATGGACGAACATTTGGACATGCTCATGGTGTGTCATCATTTGGATTCGAGCATTCCCGAAGACGTCGCATTTGCCGAATCTCGTATCCGTGCCGAGACAATCGCCGCTGAGGATATCTTGCATGATATTGGCGCCATTTCTATCGTGTCGTCCGATTCTCAAGCCATGGGACGTGTAGGCGAAGTTATTACTCGGTGCGTACCATTGTGAGGGTGAAAATCGGCACCGACCCATGACCAATTCCTTCATTTTGCAAATATGGCTGATGGACGAGGCGACGAATCCTCACGATGGATCCTTTTGAGCTGCACATTGCTGAGCTGTTCTCTAACACGACATATTTCTCTCACACCTTGATTTTTATTCTCCCTTTTGTTGTTGCCACCTGAAACTACCTTATTTTTTTTGTATCTTCCCATTTAATACAGAACATGGCAGACGGCTGACAAGATGAAGCAACAGCGTGGACCATTACCGGAAGATTCGGGTAACAACAACGACAATTTCCGTGTGAAACGATATCTGGCCAAATACACCATCAATCCTGCCATTACTCATGGCATGTCCCATTTGATTGGTTCGATCGAAAAGGGCAAGTTGGCCGATCTGGTCCTGTGGAAGCCTGGTATGTTTGGTTCCAAACCGGAAATGATCATCAAGGGCGGATGTATCGCATGGAGTCAAATGGGAGATCCGAACGCTTCGATTCCGACACCTCAACCCGTCAAGATGCGGCCCATGTTTGGAGCGATGACGTCCAAGAAGCAACATTCGTATGCCTTTGTGAGCAAGGCCGCGGCCGACGGCGGTATCAAAGACAAGTTTGGATTGGAAAAGGCCGTGGAGGGAGTGGTGAATTGTCGCAACTTGACCAAGAAGGATATGGTGTTCAACGACGCAACGCCCAAGATGGAAGTCAACCCCGAAACGTTTGAAGTCAAGGCCGACGGGGAGTTGTTGACATGCGAACCGTCCGAAAAGCTCCCGTTGGCTCAAAAATACTTTTTGTTCTAGAGGGGGGGAAAAAATGAAATTTGCTTGGACGAAATCGACAATTTGTTTTTAAAAAAGATGAAATGAGACCCTACCGTCATGGTGGGACAAAACATGATATTGACATAAAATAGTAAATGACATCCATTTTTGGATCTATCGGAGATGATAGGATACAATGAACGACAGGAAGACAGAGAGAGGAAGAAACCGCAATACAGTATTTTTTGTCATCAATTTCGTTCCATTCGTTGCATGACTTCGACTTGGTTCTTGATTGTGCGGGACACCTGTTGGCCGGTCCCCTTTTCGAGTTTGAGGATGATACGTTCGGGATCGTTACTGGTTTGGATCTTCAAATGTTCTTGTGTCTTGGCACCACAGAAACATTGTTGAAAGCAGGGAGGAGGAACCCCCTCGACGTCGACGTCTTGGATGTTACTGATGTCGATGTTGTTGATTTCGTAACTGTGTCCCCAGCAACACACACAGGGACCACACCGATTTTGGTTGGGCTTTTTGATGGACAAATGGTTGTACGAAAGAGTGTACAGTTCTGGATCTTGCGGACAGCATCCGCAACACGTTTCACAGCACCATTGCCAGCAACTGATATACATGATTTCTTGTCCTTCCCAAAGGACTTTGGACCGATCGTTCATATCCTTGGCCTTTTTGAGGGTGTCGATGGCTGCCATGACTCGTTTGCGATCGCCCACCGTATCGATTCCCATTTGTCGCAAATCGTCTTCGGTCAGATGTGGTGCTACCTTGCCGTCCACCTTTTGCTTTTCGAGCATTTCCGCATAATTGTTATCGACATCGGTCTGATCTTTGAAATATTGGGCCAATTCGTGGGCCGTCCATTCTTCAAAGTTTTTGTTCGCCAGATCGTATTCGGACATGTCGTTGTTGTTGTTGATTTGTGGGAAATGTTCTACAAGAAATTGCAACCGAGTTGGAAAGTAGCAGTACTATCTTTTTTTTTGTTCCGTTCCAAGAGAGATCCACAGTCAAGACTTGGTCATGGTGCTGCCACCAATGCACGATAACGGCGTTGAGAAATTTCTTTCGGTCCACGACAGTTGTTATTTTTTGGAGTTTTCGAATATTCAAATTGATGATAATATATTGTAGTACTATTATATTTACTACGCAATAGATGTGTGGGAAGGAGACGAAAGACACGAGGCAGCTGCCACCATCAAGACGTGCCTACGGTAGGTAGCTGATAGCTGGTAGTAGCTATGATAGCTGGTAGTAGATTTTCGACTCCGAGTTGTCTTGTCACGACTTGACTCGTTTGACCATTATGCTGTTATGACGTATGGCAATCCTACGACAAGTACTCTTATTTTTTATAGGGGAAATTGCTATGTCGACACCGAAGCCTTATCTCGACACGGGCACTTCTCCTTTTATGTGGGTTTTCTCCACATAACGGTGCTAAATGTTGTCTCGACACTGAGCCGCTATTATCTCGACACCGTAAAAACTCCTCGACGATGAACAGGATCTGCAGCAGCCTTTGGGAGGAGAACTACATTGATGCGGTTGCCTACTACAGGTTGTTTGAGACGCAAACACTACAATCTATAATGGACAATCATGTCAGTGAACAAAAGTACGAAACAGTTAACGAACTTTTGAAGGAAAACATTGTTCCTGTTTCTTTGGATATATTGGACCAGGATGGAGTTACATTGCCACCAAATCGCACAATAAGGTCAAGTGGACGACCAAGGAAAAAAAGGATCAGGAAACGATCTCGTTTCGCCCATGATCCAGACAAATCACCCATTGTTTGTAGCAGATGCAAGAAGAGAGGACACAACGTTAAAACATGTGTTGCAACAGAGCAACTTGAGAAACAACATCCAGCTGGGCTTGATCTTTCTTGAACAATATATAACTGTCACTACTATAATAAGATTTCAGTATTACCTATGGTTTGGTGGTAGTAGCAGTAACAGTTGTAGTGGCTGTAACAGTTTCGGTAACTACTCTGTGGTAGAAACGTAGTAAAAGTAGTAGTGCTATGGTGTCGATATAGTAAACAGGTAAAAAGGATGGTGTCGAGATAACAGTGGCCACGGTGTCGAAATAAAAAATTGGGGTTTTTACGGTGTCGAAGTAACAATAGAGGGGTTTTTACGGTGTCGAAATAACAAGAGGGTTTTTTAGGGTGTCGAAATAATGCCGTACATGGTGTCGAAATAACAAAGGGGAATTTATGGTGTCGAGATAATAGTGGCACGGTGTCGAGATAATAGTGGCACGGTGTCGAGATAATAATGCCCGTGTCGAGATAGTAATGCCCGTGTCGAGATAAGGCTTCGGTGTCGAGATTGCAATTTCCCCTATTTTATACTTCGTACCACGGGGTAGTTAGGTAGTTGGTACTGACTGTGATATTAATCAGGAAATCAAAACATAGAATCGTCCAAATCGTCATCGTCTAAAGGGCCACACCATTCGGCCATATCATCCAGGGACGTCGTGACGATCGACATGTCTTCGAATAGTTGGACAGCACCTTTATTGGCCTTGGAGTCACGTTCGAGCAACCGTCCCTTGGCCAGTCGATGTCGTCCTGCCAAGATACACGTGTTACCACCCACTTTGGGCAGAGCCGTTTCCAAGTGTCGTTCCGCAACCGTGATGACCTGTCGTCCATCGTCCATGCTCAAGGTTGCCATTCCCTTTCGTAAAACATCGACGACGGTTCCCTTTTGTTTGTAATGTCGATCTCCGTACTTGCGTGAGACGACCCGAACTCGGATGGAAGGAATCAACCATGACATTGATGATGCTGATGGGTCTGTTGATGATGATGACAATGATTCCTTCTTGTACTTTTTGGACGACGATGAAGTACTGCTGTATCGATTGGAGGATTTGTCTCTTCGATTGGGATTATCATCCTCATCCTCATGGTGTAGTGATCTTTCACGTTTGCGATCGCGCTTGTGATTGTCATTGTGATTGTCACGACGACGACTTGGTCGTCGTTGTTGTTGTTGTTGGTCTTGTAAAGTACTATCATCACCCTCTTCTTTTTTAATTACTTGCTTCTCTTCCTTTTGATCAATTGGACCTTCTTCAAAGGGTGTATCGATGAGCTCTGATCGTTCTACCAAGGTGACGCTTCCCCTTTTGACCTTGGTCGGTTGTGATTCTCTTTCAAAGACGACCAGAATCATGTTAAGTCCAGGAACACCACTCACTTTCTCAATGCGTGCTCGTCGTGGTCTTTTCCATTGGTGTTGATGCGGATGTCGTCCAATTTCTTTTTCGTTGTTGTCGTTGTCCATGTAATTATTATCATTACTACTACTACTACTACTAGTAGTAGTAGAAGTAGTACTAGTATCGACACGAACGATACTTCCGATTTGTAACGTCTGTTGTTTGTCCATGGCGATTTGTTTGTTTCGTTCCTGTTGGTATTGTTGCTGTTGTCGTTTCATACGTTCCTCCCGTTGGACTTGATCCTGTCGACGAGGTCGTCGAGGACGA